ATATATTTATTTATTATTGATAATGATAATGATAATAAAGATAAAGTTTTGTGAGTTCATGTAGTAATGTGAATTAAAGATGAACCACTAACCTGCTAACTCACCAAAGATAGTTGATATGAATAATAATTTGTCGAGATATTTTGGTTTCTTTATCTGCTTAATATTTTCAATAAAGACAAATACTAGAAGGTTGACTTTGAGTTGGAAATATTTAGATTTTATTGTAAATGTTTGAGAAAATATACAAAATTAAATGATTTTTAATTGTCTTTTAAAAAAATCAGTTATATTTGATTCATGGTTAATATTTCAGCGATTTCCAATTTTCATATTCACATATTTCTTGTATTCTGTTCTCTGGATGTTTCTTACGAGCAGAAGACTTGTTGTTGTTGTTGTTGTTGTTGTTGTTGTTGTTGTTGTTGTTGTTATTGTTCATGTTGATCTTGTGTCTTCAGCACTTGACCACCTTCGTGTTGGACCGGAAAGACGGTCTGATCACCGTGGACGATGGCGTCCGACGTCTCCGGCTGCTGGACGCTAAAGGGAAAGTCTGGACTCAGGACATGTTGCTGCAGGTGGAGGACAAGACCGTCAGCCTCATCGACCACGAGACCAAGGTGGGTCTAACATAGGTCTCTGAGACCACGAGACCCTTCTGGTCCTCAGGAACCTCCAGGACTCACCAAGTCTCTGAGACCACCGGACTCTTCTGGTTCTCAGGAACCTCCAGGACTCACTAAGTCTCTGAGACCACTAGACTCTTCTAGGACTCGGATATTAAAGTATTCCTGACAGTTGTTTCTTCCTGTTGGTCAGAACGAGTTGGAGAACTTCCCCATCGGGACGGTCCAGCACTGTCAGGCCGTCATGAACGCCTGTAGCTATGACTCCATCTTGGCTCTGGTGTGTAAAGACTCGGGTCAGAGCAAAGCCGACCTCCACCTGTTCCAGTGTGACGACATCAAGGTGAACGGCTGTGATTGGTCCTTTTTAGTTGAGAGGCTTTAGTTGAGGTTATCAAAGCTCTAGGCTCATTTATTGTCCTTATGAAACACAGAGATGCACAAAGAGCTTCAGCTGTAGCTCATTTCTAACACAACAAACACAACTAAAAAAAATGTTTGTTTTATTTGCGTCATAATAAATGTACACAGCAGCAACAAAATCAATTCTCTGGACAAAATGGCCGACGTCTTCACATCTTTGTTTAACTGAAGGTACATTTCAATATGATTCATGATATTTATTTGGTAGAAAATGTGAGTTTTAGAGTTTAGAGTAAGAAAACATAAAGTCAGTCAACATGAAGTCATGAAAACATTTATCCAAGTGGAATAAAAGAAAGTAGCTTGAAAGATGTTTTTAGTTTGTGATTAATAGAAAGTTAACATTTAGATACAATGTAAACAGTAGAGGACCAATGACGGAGCCCTGTGGAACACCATGACGGAGTCACAAAGACAATAATGTCTTCACACTTTATTTAAAGGCTTGAAAGTTTAGACTTTTACAGAAAGATGAACCATAAATTGTTATTGTTATTAATGTGTTTCATCACGTTTATGTTTCTGTTGATTTCCCATCAGGCCAATCTGATCCACGCAGACATAGAAGGTGCTATGATCGATGCCAAAGGAGGCAAAGTGAAGAAGAGACCGGAGGCTTTAAGGTAAGAACCAATCATCAGACACTCTGAGAGGTTCGTAGTAAATGCTGACAGCTGATTGGCTGATCTGTCCGTCTGTCTGCAGGATGATCCTGAAGAGCGACGGGATCATCCCCCCTCCCCCCGCCGCCCCCGCCCCCGAACCACCGGCCTCGTCCAATCAGGTGGACGTGAAGAGCCGAGCAGCCGCGTGGTCAGCGTGGACCAATGAGCAACAAGACTGTGAGTGATGTCACCATCATGATATCATCATAGGAGGAAGATATGTGTGTGAACAATAACAAACAACCAGGATTGATTTTAAACCTGAAATAAAGCTCACAGCTGAGTAACTGAATTTATTAAATCAAATGAAAACAGTTCTGAAGTAAATGTACGTGGTCACATGTCTCTGTGATAATAGAACTACACATGTGATGTCATCATCACTGGTTATTGATTGGCTGTAGATGAGAAGCAGCGACCGATCTCATTGGAGGACGGACCGGTGGAGATGACAGCAGCCAGAGTGGACCGAGACGTGGTGAGTCCTTTTATTATGAAAGGTTTGATCTGAGAGCAGCTGAAGACCTGCTGTGTTTACATGTGAGGTCACTGATGATCACATTTAAGCTGATTGAACAACGTCGGTTTATTTAAATGTAATCAAAGTTCAGAGGCTTTGAGGGGAAATCTGGTTACATAAAGAATAACAAAATGAGTGCTGTGAGGAAACTGACCTCTGGTCTGTTGGTTTAGGTTTAATCATTAAAGTCAAAGACAAACTTTTATTTTGGCAGCAAATCCTGAACCACATCCTGGACGACATCGAGTCGTTCGTCACCAAACTTCAGAAGGCTGCCGAGGCCTTCAACGAGCTCTCCAAGAGGAAGAAGACCAAGAAAGGCAAGAAGAAAGGTCCGGGAGGTGAGGAGGAGGACGAGGAAGAGGAGGAGTTTTATTTCTGATGGTTTCTGTCACATCTGAGCTGCTACGAGTTCCTCTTCAACTGGTTTCTCATTTTATGGTTTATGGAACTCAAAAATACATAATAAATGATGTTCATGTAGATTCAGGTATGAAACAGACGATGTAAAAGACTTTACTTTGAGACTGAAACAAAAATAAGCAAATTAAATGAAATAAACAATGATGAAGATGAACTCTAGGATCATTGATCACCTTCATCAGTTGATATTTAAATGTCTCGTTATGTCCACCAGAGGGCGTCCTGACTCTGCGCTCCAGACCTCCCGGTGAGGACGAGTTCGTCGACTGTCTACAGAAGTTCAAACACGCATTCAACCAGCTGGTAGGGTCATCTTCATCATCGTCTTCATCATCGTCTTCATCGTGTGATTGTAGATATTAAAGGAATGATTGTGACCTTCAGGGGAAACTGACGGATCTCATCCAGAACCCGAGTGCTGAGGATTTGCTTCACTTCCTGTTCTCTCCTCTCAGGCTGGTGAGTCAGCACTTTATCAAACGTCATTAGGTTTTATCATATTCATCATAAACCTTTAGTTAGTAAAATTCTTGTAGTTTTAGTCAGATTATATTAAATATAATCTGCTAGTTAGTTCTCTGTTTATTTAGTCGTAGTTTTATTTGTGTTTTTATTTTTACTGAATGAAATCGTTCTGAACTCAAGTTTATAAAATGGCTGAAATGTTTTGAGATTTTCATGGAATAAAAAAATAAAACCACAAGTTAGAATGACACAAACCCACTACACACCTGTCTCCCTACCTGTCCCCTAACTGTCCTCTACCTGCCCTCCCCCCCCCATCCTCCAGGTGATCCAGGCGTCCAGTGTGGATCTGGCTCGCAGCATCGTGGTTCCTCTTCTGACCAAAGAGTCCATCGACTTACTTCACTCCTCGGGGACGGCGGAGGAGAGACACCTGTGGGTCTCCCTGGGAGACGGGTGGACCAAATGCAGGTGAGACAGTTTTATATTGAAGTCTCTTCTACGTTTACTTTACAACTTGTTTGTTTTATTTAAAAACTTCACAATCACAAAAAATAAATGTCCTCCCGGAGGACTGAGATCCATAACGTCCTCCCGGAGGACTGAGATCCATAACGTCCTCCCGGAGGACTGAGATCCATAACGTCCTCCTGGAGGACAGAGATCCATAACTGGTATTGATCAGGTGTCTCTGTGATCAGGTTGGAGTGGCCCAGGCACCACTACTTCCCCCCCTGTGTGCTGACGTTCCAGGACGGCTGGGAGCCGCCGCTGATCCACGAGACTCAGTCCAGAGACCAGGACCTGATCCAGCAGGCTGAGGCTCTCACCGACGCCGAGATCCAGAGACAAGAGGACCTGAGGGTCCGCCTGGAGGTTCAGGTCAGCACTCTTTACTTCCTGTCTATGTGTCACATGATGACATGATAACATTCATATCTATATTCGTACTTCCTGTCTGTGCGTTTAGCCGTCGGCGGTGCAGAAGTTTCCCCCCACAGACGGGTTCTCCTCCTGTGGTTCCTACAGACGGATGCAGATCCTGGATCAAGATCAGGACTCGGCCGTCAGCCGCGTAGACCGGTGAGGTCACATGACACCCTAGAGAACTGATCCCAGACCTGCTCTTTACTGACAGTAATTCATCAGTAAATACATCAAGAAAAATCTATAAAAATGAATCAGAAATAATCAGATCAATGTTTTTGTATTTTATCAGAACATAAATTAATAATTGTTTTCTATTCATTGTGTTCTTCTATTTATTCATTTCATTAATATTGAAAAACTGAAATAATTTATTGCAGTATTTAGATATTTAATTGATGAATAAGGTATTTTTCTTATTCCGTCTAAATCTTCTGAACTGGACAAACTTTCTTCCTCTGAGATGTTCATTGATGATGATCTCGTTCTTCTGCATGAACATCTGAGAAAATGATCCAAACTGACGTCGATTTATTGATTTTAATCTTTCTCAGTCAGACTTTCTTTCCTTTAAAAACTGAATTATATTCATTGAATGAAGTCTTTGAATTCTTTAAGTTCTCTCAGTAACTTGATCTGAAGTTGGGATGCTTCTCCAGTTAATGATTCAGTTATTATTTAGTTATTGAATTCATAGTGGGAAAACATTCACTTTTTATTTTTTGTGCTTTATTTATTTGTGAAAGTGTTATTAGTACATTTTAATGGTGAATACTTTATCATTGTGTAATACTACAGAGACCATTTCCCTGTTAATATGTGTTCATAACTGGTCATAACCGGTCATAACTAGTCTTGTTGTGATTGGTTGATATATTTCAGGAGTTTCGATGATGACAGCAGAATCCAACCGAAACTTTTTGCCAAATCTAAATACGACTTTGTGGCGAGAAACAACACGGAGCTTTCTGTCCTCAAAGACGAGGTCGTCGAGGTTTGTTCTTCATTAATAACATAATAATAATGATAATAATAATAATAATAAACATGCTTTCATCAAAAGGGAAATCATGTTCATAAGAAAAATAACAAACTGATGTTTTTAATTTAAATCAATGTTGAAAGAAAGGAGAACGATTTGTGATGAGCAACAACCAAACTAAGAAATTCATCTTTTACTTATTCCACATTTTAATCTTTCCTGATTTGTTATGTTTGTAAAAATATAAATAATCATAATCTGTAGTATGTTTATAATTATAGGACGTAAACACCTGCTCAGGTAAATAACATTATTAAATACATTATCACAATAATATAACCTGGTTTGAATTTATGTTAAAAATATAATTGAATTTGTTGCTCGCAGAAATTCTGTAAATCAAAATATTTTTATAGGATCTGATCAGACTTTTTATTATATTATATTGATCAGTGATTTATGGATTCATAACCAAAAGTCTCTAAACATTTGAGACGCTTAGCGTATAAAGTGCTCACTGGCTGCTGTAAAGTGTGAGTTGAGGTCTGAGGTTCTGGTCTGAGGTTCTGATCTGAGGTTCTGGTCTGAGGTCTGGTCTGAGGTCTGATCTGAGGTTCTGATCTGAGGTCCTGGTGGTCTTCAGGTCTTGGACGACAGGAAGCAGTGGTGGAAGGTGGGTAACGGCGTCGGGGCATCCGGCTACGTGCCCAACAACATCCTGGAGATCAGCAAGGCCGTAGACATGACGGGCAGAGGAGAGCCCATCTACAGCCACACCATCCAGGTACGTTCATGTAGTGCATCTTCATCATCTTCATCATATTCATCCTCATCCTCCTCATCATCCTCATCCTCGCTCTGTTTCATTCTTAACGGTTGAAGCTTATGATGCCAAAGAAGGAGTTTGAGTTGTTCAAGGTAAAGCTAAACACTGTTTAGTTTAGTTTCTTTAGTTTTAATAAACTCGTGTGTTTTTTGCTGTGGACCTTTTTCTTTTTCTTTTATTTCTAAAGGAACAGTCTCACATTTTGGTAAAAAGTTTAATTTCCTGGTTTGTTTGTCAACAAATAGCTCCAATGCTAACAGGTGCTAAAACCAGAAGGTCTAATTCTGCTGCTGTTCAATAAACAACAACCTGCAGCTAGGCTAACAGTTTCCCCCTGTTTCCAGTCTTTGTGCTAAGCTAGGCTAACATGTCCTAGTATAACATAACAGCTACCAGCAGTAACTACAAACAGCTATTATAATGTTGGTTAGCTCCTTGTATGTAGCTTCCATAACAGCATCTAGCTATAAACATCTAGCATGATGTTAGATACAATAGCTATTTTTCTTTGTTGCTACGGCTAGTAGTTTCCCTGTTTCCAGTCTTTGTGCTAAGGTAGGCTAACATGTCTTTAGCGTCAGTTAGCTACAAACTATTACCATAAAATCAGAACTCTTAGCATCATGTTGGATATGCTCACTGTAGCTACCACAACGTCAACATTACATACCAGTGATTATACTTGATGCTACACTAGCTAGCAGTTTCCCCCTGATTCCAGTCTTTGTGCTAAGCTAGGCTATAGCCCCAGTTAGGTACAAACAACTACCATAACAGCTGTACTGTTGATCACTTAGCATGATGGTGGATATGAAACCTATTAACACAACTATAATAATATATACTGTATAAAAACCCAATATACTTATTTTATGCTAGCTTGTTTGTAGCTACACCGGCTAGCAGTTTCCCTCTGCTTCCAGTGTTTGTGCTAAGCTAGGCTAAGTACGTCCCTGGATCTTAACGGGTTGTTGGAAGGTTTATTTTTCTGAATGTCAGACTGTTCCTTTAAGTGTTTGTTAGAGTTTGATCTTCATCTTTAGTTTGAATAATAAAACGGTGTTGACGATAATCTCAGTAGGTTTTTCAGTGAATAACTTTAAAGTTTTGTCTCATCAACTTCATGTTTTATGTTTCATTTCACGTTGTCAGCAATTACTGGGAGAGTTGAACGAGGTAAACAACAAACAACACGACTTTAGACTTCACGTATTTCAGGTTCAGAAGGTCCACTGAAGTCTGGAAATATTTGGACAGAAATAAATATAATTAAAATAAATAAATCGGTGCTTTGAATCGTCAGTATTTTCAGAATAAAAGCCCCACCTGTCGTCTCTCAGAAGCAGACCACCAGGACCGAGCACACCTCCAGTAAACCGTTAGTGACTCCGGCCCCTCCGGCCCCCATGCCGGCCCCCCCGGCCCCCGTCAGGCTCCCCACGCCGCCGCTGCCGCCTCCAGCTGCCAAGCCAGCCGCCATCAGCCACACCGTCAGCCGCCAGAACAGCACCACGTCCAGCGACACCGGCGGCGTCGCCATGAGGCACAACAACCAGAGACCTCCACCCGTCACCCGTGAGTCAGACATGAGTCGCTGTGTGACTAGAATGTGGAGAAGTCTCAATAATATCGTTAATGTGACGATCAAACATCCTGCAGGAAGGAAATCCAACATGGAGGAGGTTCAGGACGAGCTGATGCACAGACTGACTTTAGGTCGCAGCGCTCAGAAGAAGTTTCAGGTTTCTGCTCGTCTGCCGTCCAACAGCATCACCTACGACTCTTCACCTGAGGACGTCAGAGCCTGGTTAGAGGCCAAGGGCTTCAGTCCAGTGTGAGTCTCTTCATGCAGTCTGTTGGTACTACAGGTGTGTGTACAAGTGTGTGCAGGTGTGTGTACTGTCTCACACCTGTCTGTGTGTCTCTCCTGTGTGTACTGTCTCACACCTGCCTGTGTGTCTCTTGTGTGTACTGTCTCACACCTG